GTCATGGGAATTAACAGCAAGCCTTCCTGTCCTAATCAAACCCATCCTTTAGCTTGTGTCCTCGAGGGACACCCCTTTTCCCACTCCTTTTTAAACATACCCTCGTGCCCCTTTTTGGATGAGACATTCTCCAAATGGTAGGGGTCACTCTCCAACTCACTGGCACCCCACACTCAAGTCCATCACCCGCCCACCTCCTACTGCCACTCCTAACCGATGCCACGCCCTGTCTTAACTCCTTGCCCAACACCCATAATCAATGCTACACAGATCTCCAACCTTTTACAGGCCTTATCATTGCCCAGGGAAGTTGCAGTCATACACTGCCGAGAACACTGGGCCCAGCATAATGCCATCTCCCGGGGCAATGTGCAGGCAGATACAGCAGCAAGGTCTTTAATGCCAAGTTAACCCCTACCTCTGTTCTCTTCCCTACCACGGCCACACAGCCTGTATACTCACCATCAGAGAAACAGGCCCTTATACTAAAAGGGGAAACAGAATCTAATCACGGCTGGATCTTCCTAAATAACAGAATCGCCCTTCCCCGGGAACAGGCCCCTAAAATTATTGCTAAAATCCACCAATCTTTACATATAGGGCCTAAGGCTTTACACCACTTTGTACAGCCCCTCTTTTTCTCGCCAGGTCTGCAACAAACAATTGAGCAGGTACACAAGGCATGCATTACCTGCTCTAAGGTCTTGCCTCAGGGAGGCTTAAGGCCACAGTTTCCTACTCACCAAATGCGTGGCAACCTACCGGCCCAAGACTGGCAAATTAAAATTAACTTCACTCATATGCTCACTCACAAAAAGCTCCGCTACCTCCTAACTTTTGTAGATACCTTTTCAGGTCGGATTAAAGCCTTCCCCACCTCCCGGGAGACGGCAGACATGGTGCCTCCCTCCTTACTCAAGAAATCATCCCTTGTTTCGGCCTACCTGCCACCATCCAGTCGGAAGACGGTCCAGCATTTACGGCCCAAGTGGTCCAGCTAGTCGCCAAGTCCCTCAACATCTCCTGGGAACTGCACATCCCTTACCATCCTCAGTTGTCGGGTAAAGTTAAACGGGCCCACGGGAGCCTCAAGGACCATTTGGCCAAACTTACCATCGAGGTAAAACTCTCTTGGCCCACACTCCTACCTCTTGCTCTAGCCTGGGTCCGAGCCACCCCGCGGGAGCCAACGGGTCTCAGTTCCTTTGAGTTGCTGTATGGCTGGACTTTCCTGGTTTCTCACAATCTCCCTGTAAAACCGCCCCCACTGGCTTCCTACCTTCCCTTCCTCTCTCTTCTCCGCCACCTGCTTAGGGTGCACGCGGACCGCACCCTCCCTGTTGTTCCAGGACTGGAAGACCCCCCACCCAGCAACGCCTCTCCAACCAGGCAACAGCATTCTCCGAGAGCTCGAACCAGGATCTTTGCAGCCCAGGAATCCTGGACTAAGGGCCCCACCACCAGGACCCATTATCTTGCACAGGCAAACTGCCAAACAGGAGGCTGTCAGTCTGCTGTCTCCATCCTCATCCCACATGGTAAAAGCGCTGTATTCAGTCGCAATCATGGGTTTCACTTTCAGCACGGGCTGTGTTTTCTTTATGACCAAACCAAGGACTACTGTCATCGGTGGAACACCAACTACAGGGGGTACCCATACAGCTCTTGTGTTATTCACAAGCCACAGCCTTCAAGCCTTCCCAATCGCATGCTCACTCGCTTCAGCAATGGTTCCTTAGCCCTCAACATCCGCAACCCCTGGCACAGCCGTTGGAATGCAGGAGTGTCCAGTAAAGTCTATAAAGATTATACCTGGCACCATGTTAACGGGTATCCCCTTGTTCCAAGTACACTCTCAAAATCTCTCTCTCTGCTATGGGACGGCCAGCAGCTCCAGCCCCAGCTGCAACACCACGGTAAAAGTAAAATCCTCCCTTTACATGCCTCCAGGAGGATACTTTTGGGGTAATGGGACCCTAACCAAAGTTATTAATGCCTCCTTTCCCTTCCCTTGTGTGCCTGTCACTTTGGTCCCACAGCTAATAGTGTATGGACAAGCCGAGCTCCTGTTCCTCATCACACCCTCCCCTAATCACCGAAGCAAATGAGCTGTCTCCCTCCCAATAGTAGTTAGCCTCTCCTTAGCATCCTCTCTAGCAGCGGCTGGAATAGGAAGCAGAGCGATGGACTACAGTATCCCTTCAGCCGCTCAACTGGAAGACAAGCTCCAAGCGGCCATTGAAGCATCAGCCGCCTCCCTGGCCTCCCTCCAGTGACAAATCACATCACTGGCCCAGGTAACTCTCCAAAACCGATGGGACCTTGACCTACTAAAGGCAGAAAAAAGAGGTACCTGTCTGTTTCTTCAGGAACAGTGCTGCTACTCTATTAATGAAACAGGCCTTGTGGAAGATAAGGTCAACACTTTATCACCTCCAAAACGACCTCCAAAAGAAACAGAATGCACCAGCTTCGTCTCTCAACTGGTGGCAATCCCCCATACTTACCTGACTAACCCCTATCATCGCTCCCATTATCGTAATTTGTCTTCTACTAATGCTAGCCCCTTTTCTTCTTAGGTTTTTACAGGCTCGCATGAGGGAAATTTCCAGGGTGGCCATAAATCAGACGCTACTTCACCCCTATGTCTGACTCCCAACTGAGGCACTGGCCAACTGACCTCCCCACTCTGCCCCTGTCCAGCAGGAAGTAGCCAAAAAGAAGCGGCGTCCTATATCATCAAAAAGGTTGGAATGTAAGGCCAGTTGCCTCGCCGGGAGCTGAATGGACACACCCACCCCTCTCCGTGCCTGATAACTACGTCATCACCTCAAGCTCATTATCTGGCCTCGCCACATGGCTTCCTCGTACCCGCCTCTGCATACCATACCCAAGCCCACACTCAGCACCAAACTATACACTCAACCCCAGCCTGCTGTTGAAAAACCCTGCCAAAAAATGTTAAAGAAGCCCCACCAAACCCTGCCCAATAGCCCCCGGCTGGCCCACTTACCCAGAGTCCCGCCTGCCTACCAATGACAGCTCGCTCCACGCGCATCCTGTTTCCCAACAGCCAATAAAGCTGCCTTCACTTTGTTTCCCAAAAGCCAATCAATTGCCTCCCCTCCCCATAAAACCCCACACCCTAAACAGCCGGGCACGACTTCTCTGGCCCCTTTCCTGGACCATAGAACCTCGCCTGGGAGCTGAATAAATTAGCTTTTACTTTTCTTATTCCAGCCTCATTTCCTCATTTAACTCGGCAATAGACCTTACAATCACCACATCTCTACATGGACCTCTTGTAATGACAGAGCTTAAAGGATGCAGCTCCCGTAGTAGAAGATTTTGTTGCAGGAGTTCTTTTCCCATAGGTTCTGGACACATCGGCATCTTGCCATACCCCAGTCTAGGCACACTGTTACCGTGTGGTGTGGTGGGGTCATTTCCTACGTTTCAGCTCTGGTCTTGACATAAAGTTCTGACCTCTTGGAGTCCCAGCGCCTCATTTCCAAAAACTCTCGCATGTGAGTGTGCATTTATTCAGCTGAAAGGCTTGTTCACACACAGGCTGCTACACCCTACCCCACAGTGTCAGATTCAGAGGTCTGGGGTGGGGCAGAGACTGTGCACAGGTCACAAGTTCCTCAGTGACACAGATGCTGCTGGGGCAGGGACTCTTCCTGGAGAACCACTGGCCCTGAAGATGCCTCATGTCCTTCCTACCCTGCCTCCAATCGTGGGATTACAGTTCCCAGAGCTCTTACTATCAGCAGCCCAGAGCTGCCCAGGCCAATGGCTAAGAGGCTCTGAAGTCTGATTGCCTGGGTTCGAGCCCTGATTCTGACACTGCCCATATGAGTGACCCTGAGCAGAGTTTTAAACTCTCTGAGTCTCAGCCTCTTTGCCTAAAATAGGGAAAAAGAGTATTTCTATCTCCTGGCATTTGCAGGAGATTGAATGAAAAACTACACATAAAGCCCTCAACGAGGAGGAAGAGTCCCGTATTGGCAACCCGTTATTAAGAGCACCATGGTCCATAACAAACTCTGTAACCCCTGGAATGTGTGCAACAGTGTCGCTGTGGCTTATGAAAAGGGAGATTTTTCACACAGAGAGAGAGAAGAATCACCAGCAACCTACTTGCTACACCCATATGCCTAAAAGAAAGGGCCTTTCAAGGCCGGGTGCGGTGGCTCAAGCCTGTAATCCTAGCACTGTGGGAGGCCGAGGCGGGTGGATCACGAGGTCAAGAGATCGAGACCATCCTGGTCAACATGGTGAAACCCCGTCTCTACTAAAAATACAAAAAAT